GATGTGACTGCTACAGTAAAAAATGTCCTTATTGTCCTTATTCCTAAACATGCCCACCCCGAAAAAGTCACAGATTATCGACCAATTAGCCTTTGCAATGTGGTTTACAAAATTGGATCTAAAATGATTGTGAACCGCCTCACTGGTATTCTCTCCGAAATTGTCTCCCCGACTCAATCTGCGTTTGTACCCCATCGTCTAATCACAGATAACGTCTTAGTCGCCTATGAGGTGAATCATTACATTAAAACAAAATCCGGTAGTAGAAAGAATTTTTTGGCTATAAAACTTGATATAAGCAAGGCTTACGATCGAATTGAATGGGTTTTCTTAAGAAAAGTGCTTGTTTGTTTTGGTTTTCCTCTTGATTTTATTGATCTTATTATGTTGTGTGTGTCCTCTGTTTCCTATTCATTTCTGTTCAATGGATCGCAGTTTGGTAGTGTCACCCCGTCTCGAGGACTTCGACAAGGGGACCCCTTGTCGCCATACTTGTTCATCTTATGTGCAGAAATCCTCATAGCTATGGTGAACAGGGCGGTGGAATCCGGGAACCTCGAGGGTGTTCAAATCGCACCAATGGCGCCTGTGATCTCTCACTTATGCTTCGCAGATGATACTCTGCTCTTTTGTCGGGCGGATGCACAGAATGCCAGCACTCTTAGAGAGATTCTCAATACATATTCTCGGATCTCGGGACAGGAAATCAATCTGGACAAATCTACCATGTGCTTCAGCCCTACTACGCCGCCTAATGTCAAAGATGCCATTCACGGGCTGCTTGGTTTCCAAATTGTAGAGAGGCATGACAAATACTTGGGAATGCCAGCCTCTCTTGGAAAGAGGCGAAAAGAGGTGTTTCAGTTTTTGCGGGATAGAATTTGGGCACGGATTAAGGGATGGGGCGACCAACAACTCTCACAAGCAGGAAAAGAAGTTATGATCAAGGCCGTGCTTCAAGCCATCCCGTCATATATGATGTCATGCTTCGCTCTTCCAACCGGGCTGATAAAAGAACTTGAATCAACGATCCGAAATTTTTGGTGGGGGGGAAGGTCTTCAAGGAAGATGGCATTGATGTCTTGGGAGAGGATGTGTCGACCAAAATACTTAGGTGGAATGGGATTCCGTAACCTTCAAGCTTTTAACCATGCCCTTCTGGCGAAACAATTGTGGCGCATCTTCACCCAACCTGAACTTTTACTATCCAGACTTTTGAAGGCCCGGTACTTCCCCAACGGTGATGTCTTGTGTGCAGTTGCGGGTTCGAGACCATCAGCCACATGGAGAAGCCTCGTCAAGTCGCGACCATTTCTTCTCTTGGGAGCCCGACGCCGAATTGGAAACGGGGAGACAACAGCGGTCTGGGGGGATCCATGGCTGCGAGAGGATAATCACTTCAAAATAATTACTCGACGACCGAGTCACACTAACTTCCCAAATAGAGTTGCCGATTTGATCGATAATAGTTCCCGCACATGGAATCTACACTTGATTGCGAGCACCTTCTGGCCAGTGGACCGTGACCGCATCTTGGCGGTCCCGATAGGCACGAACACAACTGCTGATTTATGGGTTTGGCACTTCGCTAAAAATGGGAGGTTTTCAGTTAGGTCTTGCTACAATGCCGCTATTCAAGTTGGAGGCCTTCTTCAAGTTGGTCACCAGACAGCCGGGCAATCAACTAGCGGCTGCCCCACCCGCGAATGGTCAAGAATTTGGGAGCTTAATCTCCCGCCAAAGGTTCGACATTTTATTTGGAGGCTTTTGACGGACTCTCTCCCTACCGGTGAGGAACTCCATTGGCGGAAGATTACGTCGGACTCGAGGTGCATTCGCTGCGGGTATGCACAAGAAACAGCGCTGCATATTGTGCAATTTTGCGGAGGACTGGACAGGTTGTGGCAAGCTCACCCGTTCTCCTTAAAGCTCGCCCCGCCATCGTCATCTTCCTGGTCTTGGTTTGAGCATCTTCGAAAACGATTGACCGCAGACCTCTTGCCACTGGCGCTCATTATTGCATGGAAATCTTGGAGCGTTCGTAATAGCTACCTTCATGGCGGTGATACGGCTTACCAATCGGATATCTTAGACTGGAGCCAGCGATACCTAGAGGAATACACTACCCACAAGTCCAAACCACTACTTGGTCGTACATTGGAGCACCCAAGTGTTTGGACCCCTCCATCGGTTGGCACGATCAAATTGAACTTTGATGCAGCGGTGCCCTTGGGGAAGAAATATTACGTCATCTCCATGGTCGCGCGGGACTGGCGGAAAAGATGTTTATGGTGGGCAGCTCGTCTCGTCCCAGGCTGCATCTCAGTGGTGGAATGTGAAGCTCACGCGGCTCTCTTTGCTTTGGAATGGGCCACTAAGAAAGATTGGAGATCGGTTATTGCCGAAGGAGACAACCTGCATGTCATCAATGCACTCAAGACGGAAACTAATTTGGAATCACCATTCGGAGCCTACGTAGAGGAGTGCCTTTCCATAGCATCCTCGTTTAATTCTTGCATATTTTCCTTTGTCAAGCGTTCTGGTAATTTGCTAGCACACTCTATTGCAACTCAATTTCCATTTTCTTGTAATGAAGGGGATTGTCTTCCTCTCGACTTGGCTATTTTGCCCTGAATAAAATCTGTTTTGCTCTCAAAAAAAAAAAAGTGATACAAAAAGTATACTTTGGAGGTGTAAATTGCATTTAACCATTTATTTTTAATATCCATATCTTATTTTAAGGCAATGTTTGGAACCGTTTTTATTTTGTTTTCATTGTTTCCCCAAAACAAAATGGGATTTATTACACTTTTCAAATCATTTTCTCAAAACAATTTCAAAAGTTTCTCTCTCCTTCAGACATGATGTGACTGCTACAGTAAAAAATGTCTTCACTAAAAAACAAATAAACATCACTTCACCTTTCAATTTTTTTCTTCAAAAATACCTTTTTCTAACACCTTTAAACATGATTTGATTGCTACAGTGTATTTTGTCTCCTTCCAAAATACAAACAAACATTACTTTCATTCTCAAATTATTCCCCCAAAACATATTTCCTCAAAATGAAATCAAAATAAGATCCAAAACGCTTCCAAACATTGCCTAAGTTTTTACTTTTAGGTTTTTATTTTGAGTTATTGTGGAAGTCATTTCAATCAGCCCTATAAAATATTACTTCAAGAATTTCAAAATCCCAATTGAATTGTTGCTAAGTGAAACTTATCACATATAGTTAGTTTTAGTGTAATTTATCCAGTGCACCTATATGGTTGGTTATAGAATCCTTCAGTAAAAAAAAATATATATATCGCCTCGATAATTTAATAAAGTTTCACAAGATACAATTATGAAACGTATCAATGAATTTCATATATATATATATATATATATATATATATTAATCTCCAAATTTACTTGAAAATAAATTGAAGAAAAGTCAATCTGATAAAGAACATCTATGACATTTACCCTTTTGACTTTAAAAAGTAACTTTTGTAACTCAGCTTTTTTGTTTTGTTAATAATTGAGTACATGTGCAGTAATCACTTTACCCTTTCAGCAACTTTTCAATGTTGAAATTGCTTTATAGGATGAGTTGGGCTTTTTTGCTAAGTCGAAATAAGTTGGGTTTGTATTAAATTCAGTCTTTTGGGCTTATCAATTTTTTATGATCCATTTTCATTCTTTTCTAAAGAAAAAAATATGTAATTCGTACAAATAATAAATAAGTAAATATATGGCATCTTGAAATCATTTTTCATGAGTACATGTAAAAAAATATAATTTTTGCTTGACATTGGCTTTTAAAGAAAACTTTTTTTTTTTCATGAGAATAATGCAAAATTAAATGTTAAATTTCCCCCAATAATGCTAAATTAAATGTTGAAAAACTCTTCAATAACTATATTGTCATCTTGTTGTTATATAACCAATATATATGCTAGGAATCTAATTTTCCAAATAATTCCTAAAAAAATAAATTATTTATATTTAGGTATTTATCATTATTTATTAAAAAGAATCTCATTCAAACATCTAGTGGTGGGAATTGGAACGAAATTTTCGAATTTCGCCGTGGTTTGGATTTTTGTGATTCAGAGTAATATTTTTCAATACGAGTTTCATTACTCCAATTTTGCGTTTCCCAAAAATGACACTTGTAAGATATCAATATGTATTTCATAGGGTAGTGATATACGCAGGCCAAATTAAACATTCAGGCACTTTTTTACCATGTTTTTTTACCTTTTTACCATAACTATTTACCTTTCTACATTTTAAATAAACACTTTATTAATATTTCATTTAATAAAAAAAAAACATTTAAATAATTAAACGAAAAAAAAAAAAAAAAATTTACTTGGTTCTGCTCGCGCAAAAATGCACGAGCATTTCAACAGTGCTCGTGTGAAATCAGGCGAGCACTGTTGAAATGCTCGTGCATTTTTGCGTGAGCAGAATAAATGCAGTTTATTAAATTTATTAAAAAAAAAAAAAAAAAAATTAAAATTAAGTTGCTCGCATGGTAAAAAAGTGCCT